AATAGCTGCTGCTGTTTTAGAAATATTGAGGATGGAACATAATTTTTCTTTTAATGTTCCCTCTCGTCTGAATAATTTTTCATTTGACATTATATAACCCATTTAAAACCATAATGAATCAGGCTAAAAACTCTTGGAAACCATAAATCCACTTGTGCACATTAACTGTGCAATAATTCATGCTGCAAAAATTAACTGGAGCAAAGTTACAGAGGTTTTAGTAAAAAAAATAATGTTGCATTTTGTCATTCTGCACAGGACAGACCATGTTGGTACCATTAATAAATGTTAAGAAATCCATGCCATTTTTTTCCCTTTACATTTTTATTGTAATGTATTTACAGATTTGTTGTAATGTRTTTACAGATTTGTTGTAATGTATTTACAGATTTGTAACAATCACATTTTGTACAGTTTGTTTACTTTCTGATTCAACTGCCTGTCGTTTGAACTGTGTTTGGTGGATGTAAATATAGTTTCCATGAGCTTTTAGCCAAGATTCTTAGCTTTCTATTGACACCAAACATGTTCAGTTTCACCTTCGACTAATAGAAGTTAAAAGAAATATAAAACGGGAAATGCTGTTTTGCATGGAGCTCAGGCGGTTAATAAAGCTGTTTACAACTCAAATGCTCCCTGAAGTTTTTAATTTCCCTTTTATTTCCCCTGAATTGTGAAAAGTGCAATATTTCCCTGAGTAAAAACTAAAATGAACTCAGATCTTAGTCTAAAACTGTCTAATCCTATCAGATTTGAAAGGAAAAATATAAAATAGAAGTGAAACGTCTCAATTTACGGTACGTGGTCATAATGTTTTGGCTGATCCTCGGATAAACAAAGTGCTTCTCAAAACAAAACAGCGACTTCAGTTTCTCTTTCTGACTTTATCTCCCAGCACCAACTGAAGCTGTTTTTACAAAACCATATGCTGGGTGTCTAATTACAACATTTTTACACCACACCCAATTATCCTGCAGCCCACCACACAGTCTGTTCAGGTCTCACTCCACAAGAGAGCTGTAAACGTGTTAAAAGCTTTCCCAGCATGGGGTCCTGAAGACTGCGTGGTTTTGGGTCTATTAAAGGATTTATGAGGTGCAGATTGGACATTTAAACTGGATGAAATGCACGGCATGACGATGATACTCAAAAGTTTATCTTGAAACAAGAATAAATAAATAAATGAATGAAAATTACAACAAGTGATCAACGGATTAAAAACAGCATTTTTCGTTCTTTGTTGTATTTTTGGGTTCAAACAAAAGATGTAAACAAATCTCAACTCCTCCAATGATCTCATTTATCACCAGAAGTTCTGCAAAATTCTAACAAAAGATAAGGAAATTTTTCTAATTCAAGAGATGAGATGAAAATAAACTGAGTCATAAAAAGGTGTCCTTACCTATGTTCTCTGGAACAATGCTTGCATTGTAACTGCAACATAGGTACCGAAGAACATAGGGTGTCTGGGGAACCATCTGAGGATCATGGGTACCAGGGAACATGGGGGTATCTGGGGAACCATCTAAGGCTTATGGGTACCAAGGAACATAGGGGTATCTGGGGAACCATCTAAGGATTATGGGTACCAGATAATGTAGGTGTGTCTGGGGAACCATCCGAGCATCATGGGTACCAGGGAACAAAGGGGTGCCTGGAGAACCATCCAAGGATCATATTTACCAGAGAATGTAGGGGTGCTTGGGGAACCATCCAAGGATCATGGGTACCAGGGAACCATTCAAGGATCATGGGTACCAGGGAACAAAGGGGTGTCCAGGGAACCCTCTGAGGATCATGGGTACCAGGGAACCATTCAAGGATCATGGTTACCAGGGAACAAAGGGATGCCTAGAGAACCATCCAAGGATCATAATTACCAGAGAATGTAGGGGTGCTTGGGGAACCATCCAAGGATCATGGGTACCAGGGAACCATTCAAGGATCATGGGTACCAGGGAACAAAGGGGTGTCTGGGGAACCATTCAAGAACCATGGATACCAGGGAATGTAGGAGTGTCTGGGAAACCATTCAAGGATCACGTGTACCAGGGAATGTAGGGGTGTCTGGGGAACCATTCAAGGATCATAGGTCCCAGAGAACAAAGGGGTGTCTGGGGAACCATTCAAGGGTAATAGGTCCCAGGGAACAAAGGGGTGTCTAGGGAATCACTCAAGGATCATGGGTACCAGGGAACTTAGGGGTGCCTGGGGAACCATCCAAGTGTCACGGGTACCAGGGAACAAAAGGGTGTCTGGGGAACCATCCGAGGATCATGGATACCAGGGAACTTAGGGGTGTCTGAGGAACCATATGAGGATCAAGGGTATAAAGGACCAAAGGGGTGTCTGGGGAACCATTCGAGAACCAAGGGTACCAGGGAACTTAGGGGTGTCTGAGGAACCATCTGAGGATCATGGGTACCAGGGAAAAAAGGGGTGTCTGGGGAACCATTAGAGAACCAAGGGTACCAGGGAACTTAGGGGTGTCTGAAGAACCATCCGTGGATCATGGGTACCAGGGAACATAAGGATGATCCCCTGTAAAGCCCAACCTATTATGTAATGTTTGACATCTGTTCTACAAAACTCTTAAAGCCTTAAGAAATCAGCGTTTTTACAAACAATATTTTCACTGATCTTACCTCAGATCCCTCTGAGTCTGAGCAGACAGACTGAAGTTTAAAACAATAAAAGAATAAAAGAAAATGAGAAAAAAATGTGTAAAACTTAAAGTTTTATTAAAAATAATAGGAATAATAGTTCCATCGACTGGTTCTCACCTTGGAATCATCTGACTGCAGGTGATGAAAATTAAAACCCAGAAGATTATTTTACAACAAAAAGACCAGGTGAATAAAAAATAAAAAGATAATTCTATTATTTATTTTATTTTATAAGATACCCACCAAATTATCCTCCCCTTCACTGATGTCCTGGGACAAATATATGGAAGAAATTAAATAAAATAAATGTAAACAAAAAAGAAAGAAACCTAAAATACAATTGTATAAATGGCGTTGCTCTGTTTAGGTTAAAGAAACAACTTTTTTAATCTATTAACCCAAGAAAGAAATGCTCAAAATGTAAGCTGCTGCCTCTGAATCACCATGGCCACCATGGTAAACACACACCTGTGTCTCTCACTCCCTGGCTGCAGAGTTATTGAGGCAGACTGAAAAAGGTTCTGATGGCCAGTTTTTCTGTTTTTCTGTGTTTTATGTAGATATGAGTTTTAAAAACCCTTCACTTCCTGTTTTGAAGGGAATTAGAGCTAAAATATAACTGAGTCAGGTGGATTTGAGAGAAAACAGCAGGGAGAAACGTTCAAAGCAATAAAGCAGCTGTTACCTCCTCATCACACTCGTCAGGCTCCTCCTCGTTCTCAAGCTTTAGGAAAAACAATCACGTTAAAACAAAACCAAACGTGTTTGTAGTGAGAGGGAAAACCAGGTGTCTGAGGAGAAGAAGGGAATCCTACAAATGCTACAGAGGAGGTAAAAGGTGAGGCAACTGGTGGAAAGAATCAGGTCGGGTTTTATTTTGATTCTTTCTCACCGACGGTGGGGAAAGATAAAAGATTCTGACACGTACCCTCTCCTCCTCCACAGTCAACTGGACAGAAAACAGACAAACAAGGCTTTTTATCAGGCCAGCGTTCTGAATCACAGCTTCCTTTCATTATGGTTTTATTCAGTGGTGGGCAGCACTAATCTAAATATTAGTTGCACTAACCCTAAAGCACTAACTCAACTATTTAGGTCCCCTAATTCTAAAGCACTAACACATTGGAAAAATTAGTAAACGCCAATTCTAAAGCACTAATATTACAGAGCCTGCGAGGGGACATGGGAGATGGTTTTTCTTTTGTGTTTCCCTGCAAAAGTCGTTTATCACTGTTGTGCCTGATGGTTTATTAACAAATTCAAATGTTCACCATTAGTGAGTTGCCTACTGCTTTAATTCAGCTTCAGAATGAATACATTACACAGCCATGCATGGAAGTATATCATTTGCCGATGTTTTAACACAGTACAGCCACGCATTTCACAAACTTGTGGTGACACATCCTGTTTTGGTAACCGGATATTTCAAAATAAAAGTCTGATTTAATTCAGTTCATATACAAAACAAACTTTTGCGAGGTAACGCAAAACAATTTTGCGAGGTAACGCAAACATACTGCAAGGTAACGCAAAAGTATTGCGAAATAACGCAGAAGTATTGCGAAGTAACGCAAAAGTATTGCGAGGYAATGAAAAAGTATTGTGAGGTAATGAAAAAGTATTGCGAGGCAATGAAAAAGTATTGTGAGGTAATGAAAAAGTATTGCGAGGTAATGAAAAAGTATTGCAAGGTAACGCAAAAGTATTGCGAGGTAATGCAAAAGAAAAAAAATGCCCACATGTCCTCTTGCGGGGCTCCGTACTAATATAATCCAGTTGACACATGAAACATTCTTCAGTCAACATGAGACAATATTTACTGTGTGCAGAATATTATCACTTAGTGCCCTCGGCGGGCCAATGGGAGTCACCTGCAGGCCACATTTGGCCCGCGGGCCTTGAGTTTGACACGAGACCTTGTAGATAAGTGACACACACATAAACAAAAGGTGTGCCAGCTTCACCCTCAACTGTGAACAATAATGTTGATCAATAACATTTATAGACCTCAGTTAGTGCTTCTAAATTTAGCCCATAAATTTAGCAAGTGCTAATCCACTAATGAATTAAAAAATAGGAAAAGCCCTAAAGCACTAATCAGGAAATTAGTTCCCTGATTAGTGCTTTAGTGGAACTGTGCCCACCACTGAGTTTATTGTTCTAAGTTTTGTTTCTTAGCTGTTGTTTGGTTTCCAGTAAATATGTTTTGTTTTATGAAGTCCTTTGAGTCGGTCTGCCTGCATCCCTGAATCCAGACCTCATCTTTCATTTTTTGATGTTTTTGACTCATCAGTAACGTGTTTTATATGTTTCCTCTTGGCTGTGAACGCTCACCTGTTTGGCTCCCATCGACTCGAACATCTTCTCCAGCAGGACCCTCATCTGCTGGATGTTGTTCATCAGAACACAGGGCTGAGAGGTGGAGGGAGGGGAGACGTTTCAGACGTGAACCGATTCATCTTGATGTTGAACAAACACAGGGGGCTCGGGGGGAACTCACCATCTTCTCCTTCTCGCAGTAGGACGGGAAGCTCTTGGTCAGGATGGCGCAGTACTGCAGCAGAACTTTGGTGATGGTCTGTGGAAACCAGACGTTTTCTTTACATTCAAAGTTCTGAGGGGAACTTTTAAATAAATCAGTGGGAGTTCAGACACACAATCAGAGGGAGGAAATGACAAAATTGTGCTGTTTTTTGCTGGCAGCGTGTTTTACTGACTGAGTTTTCTGCCGACTCAGCAGACTCATGCATTAAACATTCAGACGACAGCTGCCAGCAACGCTTCCTCTAATATGTTTTTATATTATTTAGGCTTTTCTGCATCTGTTTGTCCTTTTTACTGTCATAATGATCCACAACTGCTGCTGCCTGGAGACCAGATCTACTGGACCTGAGGAGACCAGTTCTAGAAAAACTGAGGAGACCAGTTCTAGAGAGACTGAGGAGACCAGTTCTACAGGACCTGAGGAGACCAGTTCTAGAAAAACTGAGGAGACCAGTTCTAGAGGAACTGAGGAGACCAGTTCTAGAAGAACTGAGGAGACCAGTTCTAGAGAGACTGAGGAGACCAGTTCCACAGGAACTAAGGAGATCAGTTCTAGAGAGACTGAGGAGACCAGTTCTACAGGAACTGAAGAGATTATTTCCACAGGAACTGAGGAGACCAGTTCTAGAGGGACTGAGGAGACCAGTTCTACGGGAACTGAGAAGACCAGTTCTAGAGAGACTGAGGAGACCAGTTCTACAGGAACTGAAGAGATCAGTTCTAGAAGAACTGAGGAGACTATTTCTAGAGGAGCTGATGAGTCCAGTTCTACATGAACTGAGCAGACCAGTTCTAGAACAACTGAGACCAGCTCTAGAGAGACTGAGGAGACCATCTCTAGAGAGACTGAGTAGACCAGCTCTAGAAGAACTAAGAAGACCAGTTCTAGAGAGACTGAGGAGACCAGTTCTAGAGAGGCTGAGGAGACCAGTTCTATAGGAACTGAGGAGACCAGTTCTAGAGAGGCTGAGACCAGCTCTAGAGGAACTGAAGAGACCAGTTCTAGAGGAACTGAGGAGACCAGTTCTACAGGAATTGAGGAGACCAGTTCTAGAAGAACTAAGGAGACCAGTTCTAGAGGAACTGAGGAGACCAGTTCTAGAGAGTCTGAGGAGACCAGTTCTAGAGGTTTTAGAGGGAATATTTCCCCCATTTGATCTGATAAAAGATTCTGTTCAGCAGATCTGGGTCTGGACGTTTTTGTTTCATGATGCACCAAGTACTGTATTATCAGTTGGTGTAAGGTCAGACCAGTTCAGCACCTGGACTCTTCAGGTACGAGACCACGCTGCTGTAACTGGTTCAGAATGATGTTTAACAACGTTTTGCTGAAATAAGTAAAGTCTTCCTCGACAAACATGTTGTCTGTATGAGAGCAGATGTTCTAAAACCTGAAGATATGTTTTCTGCTGTGATGGTTCATGTAAGCTGCTCAGGCCAGAAGCACTAATGCACCCCCATACCATCAGAGAGGCAGGCTTTTGAACTGTGTGATATATACATTTTAATGTATTTTATTGTGAGGTTTGAAAATTTGCAAATCATTGTGTTGTTTTTATTTACATTTTACGCAAAGTCCAAACTTTTTCTTTTTTTAAAGTTTTTATAAAACCTAAAAGGTATCATTCTGAGCATCTTAATGTGAGATTGTTATATTTCATATGATCTGTTAGTGCTTGGTCTATGTGTTGAGGATGACTGTCAACTACAACCACACTAAAGTTTAGCTGAGTAATTTTAAAATGCACCAAGTTAAAAGCCATTTTTGTGTAGACTAAAGTCAGACACCTTCAGAGTCGGGCAATAAAAATGGAGAAGGAAAGGAGATGGAGTGGCAGGAAATGAAAAGACGTTTGTCGGTTAGGGACAGAGAGACGGACGGCTCAAAGTGACGTCGTATTTTAACCGTGTCCCACATTGATCCAACCTCAGGGTTTTGTTAGCTTTAATGGCAACGTCTAAAAGCCTGAAATTATCTTTAGAGAAAAGGAAAAATCACAAAACAACACTTTAACTTTTCACTGAATCTTTCAGATTCAACTGATTCAAGGACAATAAATAAAGGGAGGAGAGTAAAGTTCTCAATATGAGTCATGATTTTCACCAGGGAGCAGCTGGAGGTAAATAATAAAACTATTTTTAACAGCATAAATGATGAGAGAGACATTTAAAAAAAGGAGAAAGCTCATTTCAAAATAAATAACCCCTCTTTTTTCTCAGGTCTGTAATGGAGCTAATCCATCAGGTCTGATGTCCATCTCTGATCATTTAATGTGTGAAAACTGCATCATAAAACCACACGCTGGGCTCAGTCTGTGCAACAATTAACAACATGTCTTCTTCCACAATTAACAACATGTCTTCTTCCACAATTAACAACATGTCTTCTTCCACAATTAACAACATGTCTTCTTCCACAATTAACAACA